AAGTTGGTGTCGTACTTAAGCGGAGCGCGCGCTGTGCATGTATGAAGGTGTCGAAGGTGTTCATTATGCCTAAGAACGCGTACGTGCACATGTCATGTCGCATAGGAAGCGTAGGTATGGTTGTGCAAGTCGTAAATGGCCACTTTGGTGGTTTAACATTGTTTCCAGGCCGCGTATGCGCAAATATGGGGTGCGGCGGCTATCTGCACTGCTGTGTATGAAGGTGTCGGTCTGTGTGGGGTTCCTATCGGAGAGAATACGTATGCTGCGTTGTAGGAGTGAGCTGCTGGCCACACGTTTGTATTGGAGTGCGCCACACCACCCCCCTTTTTGTTTTGTTACTATATAAAGTGTAGCCATCCACCCAGCCAATTCTGAGGGCCAGAAGGGGTATTGGGGGCCATCGTGTGCAGTCTATGGCCACGTATGTGGACATGTGAGTGTGTAAATGTGTTGTACCAATGTATACGAGTGATAAACACTAATAGGTGTGTCGGTCAAAGTCAAATGTAGACGGCCATCTTAGGCTGAAAGCACCATATCCCGTCTGCTCTGTGAAGTTAAGCAGCCTCAAGCTCGGGTAGTACTCGGGTGGGTGACCACCGGGGAAGTCCGGGTGCTGTCTACTTTTTAGCCCGTTTTGAGCTGTTTACCGACTTTGCGTGTGTTTGCAAACGCAAGATATGATGTCTGGCATGTGCCCACACGACATCTTGGTTTTAGTATGCCTGGCGAGCCACTACACACGAGATCTTGTTTTTTGTATGGTGTTCTTTAATTTGATTATTATGAAGATGAAAGAGAACCGTTAGAACGGGTATGAAGGGTGTTCTAGGAGTGCTTTTCGAGTGCTCTTTCACGTGGACATATCGCAGCATGCGACATGTCAGCGGAACACTGTCTAAATTAATAAATACTGTTTTGGCCGATTTCTAAGAGCGTCTATAAAAGGGCATAAGTGCAATGACTCGTCTTGTAACCCTGCGGCCTAGGCGTAGTTTTCACGGGAATCCCGAATATCAAAGGTAGATTTTATGTACAACATGTACTTTTTTTTGCAACATGTACTTTTTATTTACGGGACATAGACATATGTTAAAAACACACGGCGGAGCCGTTCCCGCAATCAGAATTTGTCTAACTCTTCTAGATCAAAAGTTATTCAGCGAAATGTGAGACTTTGTTTGGCATGCTCTTTTTTTAGGTGGTTTTTTCCGGTTTTATGTGCCGCCCGGCAGATCTGGCCTGCAGACTTTAGCAGAAAACTTGGCGCATGTGTTCGCACGACCGCTCCCAAAGTTTTACAAGCATATCTCCAGTAGTTGCTTCGCAATGATTTTTTTAGTGACGCCAAAAAACGCCATTTTCGCGGAAAATGGACACCTTGGACGGCCAAAATCACCACTTTGGGCAGTGTTTGGGCCCTGGCACATCCAGGAGGCAAATGAGACTGCTCGCGATATAAAAACTGCCCTAGGGGTGCTTTTATGCGCGACATTACGAAGTCAGTTCAGATTTTGGGTTAAATCAAATGGCCCTGTATCTATAAACACTTTTTTTCGACCTAAATTTTCACCTGTTTTGTCCCGAAATGATAGCACCCATTCTTTATTTGCCTATATATCGCGAAGGAGGCAACTTTTTTCCTGTTAAGTATAGATAAAAAATTTAATTCGGCGTTTTAGCGCACGAGGAACAAAAGTCTCCATACAAGCTACCCTCGGTTTCTAATGACTTTTTGAGTTAGGGAAGCGTGGATCTTCTTTTTTTCTTGTTTCCAGGACTTCACATGAACTTCCAACTCAACTCGAATTGTCATCCCGGGCCCACCACGCATCGAAACGACACTTTTCTCGGAGCTGGCGAATAAAAAATAGGTCACCAGATGCGCAAGAGTCTGGGATGACAGAATATCAAAACAATAACAGAATCGTTAGTACTTTTTTTGTCACCAGCGCCCTTTTTCTGTTTTCGCGTACATAATCGAGCATAACTTTATCAATTTATACCATATCGACCGATATCGATTGTCACGATAGTGTACTTTTTTTAGGCGCACATGATGGTAAAAAGAACGGCCACCTATTCCCAGCCGTTCTTAAGTTATGCTCTTTTAAAGATTTTACTTTAGAGATGACACACCCTCTCATTTCACTCCATTACATGCTCTTTTTGCTGAATTACGTGGCACAGACGCAGAAAATCATGGTTCGCAAGTCGAACATTTTTGAAGAGCGCATCGAAACGGACATTTTCTTAAAATAACATGGTATACAAAAAGTGCGTTCTTGAGCCTGTAGCAAACGATTTGCATCCATGACATCCCAAAAACTTAAAATAACATATCTCGACTCCTAGAATGAAATCGACGTGAATCCTTAGGGCAGTTAGTGTGTTTTAGTATCATACTGAACACCACAAAGTTTTACGGGGCACTCTACAATACTCTTCCCAAGACGCAAGAAAATGTTCATTTTGGGGGGTCCTCTAACGCGAACTTAATGATAAAATACCGCACTTAGTCCATAAAATACGAACTTAGGCACTATTCGCACTTAGTAAAATAACTTCTCGCACTTAGAACGGGTAGA